ATCCAAGCTATGTACGCAATTGGCTGCCGCGTTCGCCCACAAATATACAGTCAATTCACTTTACAATGTGTTCTGTGAAGCGCTTTGGGACGTCCTCCCGACGTGAAAAGCGCTGTATCAAATGCAAGGATTATTATTATTATGTATCAAAGGTGCATGGACACACCGAGAATATATAACAGTTTGGCCTTTCAAGAGAATAACCGTCAAATGCCAATTTCACGTTAATGTAGATTGGTTTGTTTAGCAACATTTGAGATGTTGTGAGACGTTTCGACTATTACCATTTATTATTTCTATGATCAGCACAATCACAGAAATCAAACAAAATAAGCCCATCGTGAGATCCTGCTTATCAACCAGCCAAGAACCTCTGCCCCACATGTACATCTACGAATCCAGTCGCGCTGCTTTGAGTGAGAAATCGGATGTACTGACCAGCAGAGACATTGGAAATGAGCTCATGACTTGCGAAACAATGTTCCTGAAGACAGACGACCTTTCATGTTCTTAAATGAGGCTACTCCTAGAGGCTTCTCCGGTGGCTTTGAACAGCGAGAGAACTCTACCCCAGTTTGTGTTATTCATGCGTACGGAACTCAAGAGACTGTTATACTTCCAGGACTAAGTGTGAGCATCCACTGAGTTATCACATAAATGTCTTCACTTGGAAACAGGTAAAACCTTCAAAAAACAGGACACTGTTTTCCAAAGGATCGAGGTGTTAAGGGATATGGGGATAGGGCGGGTAAATGGAATTAGGTTAGAAGATCAGCCATGATCTTATTAAATGGCGGGGCAGGCTCGAGGGGCTGAATGGCCTACTCCTGCTCCTACGTCTTATGGTCTTATGGACATCAGCACCGGAGCTTTTTAAATGTCCGAAATTTGCTAAAAATATTGGTTACAAAAAAANGTTGGATAATAATAATAATAATCCTTGGATTTATATAGTGCCTTTTACATCAAGAGGATGTCAAGGAGGTGGTTTCTAGCTAGGTTTTGAAAGAGAGGGAAGGAGTTGTGCTAAAAATGAAAGGAATAATAATAATAATCCTTGCCTTTGATACTTCGCCTTATCACATCTTTGAGACGTCCCAAAGTGCTTCCCTGAATATACTATAAAGTGTAGAGACTGTGTGTTTTGTGGGCTTCTACCTGATGTGTGTGCCTGGCTCAGTGGGTAGCACTCTCGCCTCTGGTACTTCATCACCAAGCTTGCCTAACGAAACTCACTGTTTAATTCAACGGTCCATTACTTTACCTACAATTCACATTTTGCAGCGTACAAAAGCTTTAGGGAAACAAAATTAATTCACGGAGCACTCACGGTAACCAAGAAGGATTTGGGGAAGAAACGATTTGTGCTTTCAAAATATGACGCTACTATTGGAAAAATGAAGGGAGTTTCTCCTGGTATCTTGGCCAATATTCCCCTAAATAAAACTGGTCACGCATTTACGTGGCTGCTTGTGGGACATGGCTGTGCTCAAATTGAGCACATTCACCGACAAACTACAGGCACTACACGAATAATAATAATAATAATCTTTGCGTTTGATACACCGTGTTATCACGCCATTGAGACGTCACAAAGCGCTTCACAGAATATACTATAAAGTGGAGTGACTGTGTCTTTTGTGGGCGAAACACGGCAACCACTCGCACTCTACAGTAAATCCCGTGAAGCGGCGATGTACCAAATGGAAGGATGATTATTATTATTATTATTATTGTTCTCATGCAACATTGGGTTCTGGCAGTTGAATGGAGTCCTGCTTTGAGGAACAATAAGCGCTTCTCGAGCCCTTTCACAGCACGTTACATAACTGAATAACTAATCCGCTTACGAGCTGTGCAGAAAAATGCTTTCTTTACAACCGAAAGAAGAGCCAAGCTTCCGATCAGTGTCAAACTAATTCATTCCAGGCCGCGTTTGCGCCTCTCTTTCAATACCCGTCGTCCTACTCCATGTGTGTTCTCACAGAAAGATTTCCGCTATGATGGCGTGAACAGGTATGATTGTCAGCCTGAAGTTGCATGATTCCCATGTCTACAATGATGTAATTTACTCTGGCTCTGCACTAACATGGTCTACTGTTATGTAGTTAAAAGCCTGAGGCAGAACTTTCACTGAAAGCATGCGAGAGAGTGTGTCCATCCAGTCAGCATCTCATAACTCGCAGACTAAAAGGCGAACGTTCCAATAAAAAAAAATGATTTATCTGCCCTCGAATATATCGCCCCTTTATTTATTAGTACGGAAATTATTCCTAGGTTAGGCTTGAAAAGTTACAAAAATGGGAAGATTGAAAAAAATATCAGCACACAATCGTAATAATAAATCTTGCATTTGATACAGCGCCTTATCACGTCGTCGAGACGTCTCAAAGCGCTTCACAGGATATACTCTGAAGCGTAGTGACTGTACCTTTTTTGCAATGCAATGTATATCGCGACCAACGAGAAGAGACTTTTGTGCTCAGAGAGGAACAATTGTCTTAACTTAACTCAACTGGGGACTTTGTAATATTTGTAATATTTATTATGTCAACCCTTCCAGATAAGCCTTTGGTGCTTCTTAATAAGCCATTAAACAGGCAGAGACTTTCACTCAAGGCTACACAAAAAATATTAACAGCTCATCTCCTCGTACAACGCACAGCTTACTAATATGGGTACTTCATCAAGTCCTCTATGAAAAGCAATCGCGTGGCTGCCTGTGAAGGTTTTTGCAGTAGATCAAGGGAATTTCCAGGAACAACACATAAATGTGTCCACACAATAAATAAGGATTTAATTAGATCCTGAACTCCAGCTCGTCCCCACCAACGAACATTGTAAATATCTGAACTGTACTCTGCGGGTTTATAGCACTGGTTTACACACTAGCACTAGCATTTATTGTACTTTATTGGAGACTCAAGAACACTCTGAAAATAGCACAAAGGCTTTAACACTGGAACACTCTTCCTTTATCCCTCCGTCTTGCCCCCTTCCTTCCCCATCTTCAGGTCGCCCGCCTGAAGACCTTCCTCTTCGACCGTGCCTACGGTAAACTCCCCTTGCCCCCGGCTTGGCATCAGGCTCCGCCACTGTCATGCGCTCTGGGACGCTACCCTGCCTGAGGGGCGCTATATAAATACAAGTTTTTGTTGTTGTAAATATTGTAAATAAGTATTTCACTTACACCATCTTCGCTTCTCCCTTCTCCTCCCCATTGCAAACGAATAAATAAATGTTCGTTGGTTGCAAACTGGCTGCGGCGCTTGCCTCTATATAACATGCACAGTACTTTCATTTCCAATCTTTTTTAAAAGTCCCCTGAGATGTTTAAATTCAGTTGAAAGGTACTTACGCAAACGGGAAATTGTTACTGCCATATAACACCACAGCTATGGGTATTGCAGTTTGTAGTGGTTTAATGCACTGCTTAATGCAACCAACCAACCACCCTGGGCTGAGGGCCTTTCTAATGGCATTCTCTTGTTAAACGTTGTGAAGGACTGCTGTTCTTTGTCTGAATCAACTTGATCGCCATTCACTCCAAGCCGCAAGCTACAGCCACTTGGGACTTAAGCGTAACTAAGTGGTGTGAAAATGTTCTGTGACTGACGAAAGTTTCGTGAAATAATTCAAGCAACTTCCTCTCCCTCTCTCGCAACGGGTGTTGGTTTCGGTGTAACGGGGAGGAGTTTTCTTGTATCGTCCGTCGCCTTATGTTATACGATATTATACATTACGTGATATTCTGTTTCGCTCACAAAATGTACAGTGAATTCACTTTACAATATATCCTGTGAAGCGCTTTGAGACGTCTCAACTATGTGATAAGGGACTAAATCAAATGCAAGGATTATTATTGTTTGTCACTACAGCTGCCTTATACTTCAAACTCTCCAACATCGGATACGTGACTATTCGGATTGATTGAATTTCTTTGAACGTTTTGTTTTCTTTGCACATCTTCATCAAACTTCTGTCACTCAACCCTTTCCTTGAAGGACGCAACCCCCAAGGTGTTACACAATGATATTTATTGCGAATTTGTTTTATGTCATTCCTGGTTGTTAATCGATTGGGGGGACCCTCTCCGGGGGTAATAATTCCTCCCCCCACCCCCACAAAAAAAATTATGGTCACTCAATCCACGATTTTTGTGGGGACGCTGCTGTGCGCAATTGGCTGCCGTGTTTCGCCCACAAAATACACAGTCAATTCACTTTACAGTATACTCTTTGAGACGTCTCAATGATGTGATAAGGCGTTATATGAATTGCAAGGATTATTATTACTATTATTCCAACCCAATAAAGTGAAAGCCGTGGCGAGGTGTGGCTTTGTGGGCAGAAATGCCTTGAAAGGAACTTGGAGCTCCACGTTAGCAAAAAAATCTGCAACAACTTTTACGCTGGGCAAGATAATAACGATAATAATCCTTGCGTTTGATATTGCGCCTTAGCACATCTTCTGAGATGTCTTAAAATATACT